GGTAAAAATCAGCTGTGGCGGGTAACGCTGTCAAATCACCAGCCAATTTGGCAGGGTTACTTTTCGTAAATTATGTTCACTCATTAATTTCTTGGGTAAGTTCATGCAGGCCAAATCTGCGCAGGTTTAGCGCAAATACAATCACATGACATTATCGAGTATATTGCAAAAGCTAAACAAAACACACCTACAAAGGCACGCATACTCGACGAGATGAAGTCTGGTTAGAGTAGACCAACACAGGCTTTAGTGCATGTGCGCTTTTAGAGTGGTTCTTTCACTGCATGATTCAGTCTATTAATATGCATTAAGAATGATCACATAATTCAAGATATGGAGGCACAAAATGTATATTTATATCAATTCATATAGTTAATCAATATCACACGAAGAGTGCCGTTTTTTCTTTAAAAATCAGCATGGTTACAAATGTGATATTTATTTTATACAACAGTTCAATAAACAAAAAGTTAATATCAAGAGACTTGACCATATTGGCTGTTTTTGCGCTATTTCTGTGCTATTTCGCCAACAAAAAAACATTCCAAACACAGCCACAGTACTGTTTTGCTAAATTTGTTTAGTAACAGCTTAATTGTATTATTATTATAATTGACTGGTTAAATGTAAGAATTTTACTCAAAAGATGATGTACACTTTTAGAAAAAAATGGCTTTATAAAAGGTAAGAATGCCCATAAAAGTTAAAAATCTATTTAAACTTATTGGAAAAGATTAATTTCTATCACTGCTGTGAACTTTAGGAGTCAGCTGTCCACGGTAATCCTTAAGATATCAGCACAATAACACACTCAGCAAAATATCGCCCATCTTATTGATAAAATCACAGAAAATATTGAGATATTATTTTTTGTCAATATCGCACACCCCTAGTACTGACAAAATGATTTGCAACGGTCGCTTTGTCACGCCCAGTATAGACAGCCTCAAACTGTTGGTGTATTTCTGTCTTTTTTTTTTTTTTTTGGCTAGTAGACGTTATAAATGGCCGGTAACTTAAAAATTTAGTAGCCAAATTGGCTGGTGAGTGAAAAAGTTAATTTCAATCCCTGATTACAATGTTACATTTGATCAATTTAATGCATCTTTAAAAATTCTTTCTGACCACCTTGATAGTGTATATTATATGTTACATTAAAATTAAATGTCAATATCTAATAAAATGGCATTCATGCATTTGAAAAGCACCAATATAAGCGTCTAAATATGTCACTGTACTTTAGTTTGCCTTGTAAATGAGCAGATTTAGTGAAGAATGACAGGAAGTTATTGTGTGGCCATGTGTGGTTGGCCACATGTCAACAAGTCAAAAGCTTGCGTTAACTGGTCTGCCACAGCTCCGACATATCAAACTACTTTAAAAGACATTGGTATGTTATGTCAGCTGGTAAATTATGGTACTTTGAGATACACATTTTGCAGTCAAAAAAAAACAAAACATACTTTTGTTATCGAAGGAACTTACACAAACATTGTATATAAATAAGAAAAAAGGATATACTCACGGCCCACACAGGAGAAGTGAAACCCAGGATAGCAGCTTGCATGCCCTCTGACACAAACGGAACAATGTTCTCCCCCAGACGTGTGTCTCCATACAAAGCCCTCAGGATGTTCAGAGCGTGGACCTGTATGTGCAGAAAAAACAAAGAGCCGTTAAACAGGCCTGATTCTACGCATATGTTTCTCTTAGAGATGAAGTGTGTGTGTGTGTCCACCTGTGGCACAGAGCTGCTCTCAGTATCTCCATCATTAGAGGTCATGGCCAATGCTGTCAGAGATCTCATGGTCATCTTCAGGAGTCCACAGCTGGATGATTTGGGCACAGGGGACAGCAGGGCCTACAAAGAGACAACGTTATCACAGCTAACACTTTCATGGAAGATTAACAGGCAAGTCCCCACACATTTGACATGGTTTGGAATGACATGAGGGTGAGTAAATGATGACAGAAATTTCATTTTTAGGTGAACTGTCCTTTAAGCTGTATTTCAGACAGGACATTTCTTTAAGACAGGGCCAGTGAATGGCAGCATGACAGAGGAAAAATTACTCAGGGTGTGTAACCGAATATGGCCTCTGTTCTTTTGTCCTCGTGCCATAAGGGTGTGAACTCATCGCGCAAGACCACCTTTTCTGGGACATACCACAGGAATGTGCGCTCATGCCAGGCGTTGAGTCAATCCATCCTCTCAGTGTCTTATTCTTCCCTAAAACCCTCTCATTGTCTTGCGTTTCAAATCCAAAGCTCATTTTTCCTTGACTTCAGTATTCAAGCTATTCTGACCTCTCAAGAGGACTGTCCACTGGGGAAGATCTCCATCATAAAAACTATACGGAATCAATTACCGATCCGCAGATGTTCAAATAACACTAATGAAACAGTGGGAGATTCTTCAGAGATTGTCAGCTTATTACTTATTTGTGTAAGCATGACTTTTGTAGAGGTGCTATGCAACTAGAACATCACACACATTTGTGGTGAATTTTACAGCCAAGTACCTCTAGGCATTAAATGTTTATCAAAGTAATTTTATGTTCTCATAGCCCCTGCTAATAAATGCTGCAACTGCACTATCATAGAAGCCTCTTTCTTTCCTTCTTCTTAATAGTATTAATGTATTATCAATGTTATTAACAGTTGCACTGCCTAATACATTTGTGGAAACGGTGATCATTTTTTTTCAGGATTCTTTGATGAGAGAAAGTTAAAACGAACAGCATTTATTTGACAGAGAAATCTTTGACAATGTAAAAGTCTTTACTGATAATTTGAATCAATTTAATACATAAAAGTATCATTTTGTTCCGAAAAAATCTTTCTGACTCCATACTTTTGAAAAGTATTGTTTGTCACTGTAAAAATAGCCTATTTACAGGAGTATTTGGCGTTTAAGCGGACAAAATGATTGGAGAAGTCTGGTATAAGTAATCAGAGAGAAATATGTAATTTCACAGGAAAATCTGGTTACAACAACGGTTAAAAATTACAAGCTAAAAAAAAAACAGACGCGGTAAAAAATATACAGGGTAAATTTCTAATTTGTCAAGTTTAAAATTAGAAATTTATTACGGCTGTCAATTGATTAAATTTTTGGGTTCAATTTATCGAATTAATCGCAAATGAAATTAGGCTGTGAAAATACCACCAAAAGATCATTTAAAGCCATTATTGTGTTACATGAGAAAAGTATCAAGTAGATATTACAAAAAGTAGCTTTCGAAAGAAATATTTTATTTGATTCAACATGAAATGTATTACACATTTAGGCTAAAACGGCCTTACATAAACCATGATGGAACATAAAAGAAGATCATTTGAGAAACAAAACAGCTTGGTTACTAACTTCAAAATACCTTCTTTTATGTTCCACAAAAGAAAGTAAGTCATACAGGTTCGAAACGACATGAAGCTGTATTTTAGGTGAACTATCCCTTTAATGTTGTTGTTGTTTAATATGGAAATTGTATTTATTTTATTTTAATGAAATGATACTTTAAATAAGAAACTAAAACTGCCAGTAGGTGGCAGTAAATGTCTTTACGAGTAAGTTACGGAGTCATTTATTCATTCATTTGATTTGTTCAAATGGCTGATTCATTCAGAAATGAAGTAAACGGCTCTTTGTGAATGGGGCTTTAAATCATTGGTTCACCAGATTCATTCGAAATGCAGAATCATTCAGAAATCACCAGTGTTGTCAAGAGATGCACAACAGTTCTGCTGTGGCTTGGTAAAATTGAGCAAAAACAGACAATATTGCGTCTAAAATATAACACAATAGTACGTTTTTATTTACGGAACTGTTGTATAAAATCACATTTGCACTCGTGCTATTGGGGTCAAAAACGCCACTCACGCTGCTCTTGTGATATCGCTTATATGAGACAAACTCATACAGGGGCATTTTTTCCCCCAATATCTTGCACATAACTGCACTTATGGACTACTGTACAACACGCAGTGAGTTGTTGCCCTGCATCATATTTGTCAACTGTATGAAATATGAGATGAAGATCAGGTCTGGGGCGGGGCGGGGCGGGTGCGTTAAAATATTTTAAAAATCGCATTAATTTTCCAAACTAATTAATTATATTAACATTGCCAGCCCTAAAATTTATACAAGAAGAAAAGGCTATTGTTTCTTTAGGTGTAATGCATTCATTTTGGAGGTGGGGGGGGGATCTAGTGGTCTGTGGCGTACATTAAGGAGGCCCAAGGTACTAACCTGTATATAGAAGGGTATTCCTGCGCTGCGGCGGGTCACACACAGTTTAGAGGAGGGGTCACTGGCTTTCACTTCCTCAAGAACCTCCTTCAGCCATTGTGCTGGCAGCTGCTCTAGTGCAGCACTCCCACTCCTAACACAAACACACACACACACACACCGATTACAACAAACCCACATAAGACCTTGTTGTGGAATTCTGAAGACTGTTGGTATCCAAGTTTGTGTGGTTCCTAGTGTCTCTCAAACATTTGTCTCTGTTTTCACTGATGTGATATTATCCACAGTTTTCAAAGCCATCGAAAAATCAAATCACATCCAAATGTGATCTCAAAGCATAGACTATAAAATGAACTGAATTTGAACACTCATTCGTGGAAAATGTCAGACGAGAGCCAAGTTATATTACAGCGGAAAAGTTGTGAAGATTAACATCAGTTTTTATAAACAGTTTTTGTGGAATCATACAGAGGCAGACTCTGTTGTCAGTCATGGTTTCCAAAAACAATATTAACCAGCACAACTGTTTGATAATAATAAGAAATGTTCTTAAGCAGCATATCAGCATATTAGAATGATTTCTGAAGGATTATGTGACACTGGAGTAATGATGCTGAAAATTCAGCTTTGAATCACATGAGTAAATTACATTTTAAAATATATTAAAATAGAAAACATTTATTTGAAATAGAAAAAATATATAAAAACTCCACAATATTATAATTTTTACTACATTTTGTCAAATAAATGCAGCCTTGGTGAGCAAAACAGACTTCTTACCAAAATCATAACAGAGCCCAAACCTACAGGAAAATTATTTTTCAGCAGCAAAGCTGTGATTAAGAAAAGAAATCTCAGTAAGCCACACAATTTGAGGGACCATTCATGTTCATAGCACAAAGTTTGAAGTATTGTTTGTATGGGATGAGTTGCACAACAACGATTTATTCTTCATGTTAAAGGTTTGTTCAAAATCCTATTCCAAAGTATGAGCAATAATAATAGAGATGCTTGCCTAAGCAAGCACTGTAATTACACTGCAAACCTCGGTTGAACACACACAAACACACAGCAGAAGCTGCCCAAGCGTGTGCAGGACGCCCACTTTGAGAGTGGAGAAAAATGCAAGGCTCTCGTTATGAAAAGTACCGTTATACCAGATGTGCTGGAGCAAACAATCTAAACCACACAGAGCACCCGGGCTCAAACACACCTCTCACGACCCCAAACACAAGGGGAAACCTTCAAAAGGCAGCCGTCGAACGCCCCACAATCAACACCTCGTGACGGGCTTAGTGGTTGCCGGTGGAGCCGTGTAATCACACAGCAATGCTTTTCCTCCAGAAGCACTTCTGAGACTCCATACAGACACAACTGCTAATGCAGGCCGATCCATCACAAACGCTTCCTCAGCGATTTCAAGAAACGTTACCATCTCAGGATTGAGCATTTGTTTGCATGCACGTTTTTTGTCTGTTTTGGACCTTTTATAGATAGGGAGGCCAGAAAAATGACAGTAAATTATAAGGAAAAGAAACAAACCAGATCACCCACTTGAGCACAACAAACAGCTCTGGTTTCATTAGGATCCGTAATGCCCACTTTTCTTTCGTTCTCAGATACGCAGCCCAATAACTTTCCACTTTAATCTCTGCCCAAACACACAATACACCTACGTTTCACCATTTCTCATTACCGGAGCGAGTTTGGCAGCACTAATATTGTGATTAACAACTAACTTGTGCAGTGCTTGTCTCAAGTCATATGAATGTAAATGACGAAACAATTAGTTGTTGACATTTATACAGCAAAGATTCACCAAACTCACTTTCAAATTTCAGTTGCAAGTCTATCTTATTGTATATACTGTATTTATCACTCCTAGCAGACTACAAAATCTACGACCCGTGTTATTTTAGTATTGTTTATGTTGTTTGTACAGTTTTTATAATCATTTTTAAATGGATTTTATTTTTATATTTTATAAAAAATATATATTATATAGTTTAACAATTATACATGATTTAGATTTTTTTTTTGACATTTCTTTTGTTTTTAAATATGGATATGGAAATAACTTTTACTGTACTTCTGCAAAAAAAAATGCTCATCAGTAATTGTGCCTTGTTTTCCCGTGCAAATGTCTAAAGATTCTTACATCAAGACACATTTAAATGAGATGCAAAATGACATAAGATGACTTGATTTCTGACCAAAGTGAAGAGAGTTCGTGATTAAAAATATTTGCCAATGGGCTCAAAAACTAAAAAAGTTTGCATACCTCATTGACGGATATTTATCGTTTTAAGCATAAACTTGCTTAATTTTGTTCAGTTTTTTAAGTCTTCATTTTACATATTGAGTATCTAGATTTAAGGAAGTATATTTGTATTAGAAAATAAAACTACTGAAGAGGATGTTCATTTTTTTGCAATGCATGCAATATTTAATGTCATGACTTCATGAAAATAATTAATAAACTAATCAATAGTAATAACTAATTTAATATTAATTAATGAACTAATACGTTTTTTTTAATTCAATATTTTCATTTAATTTTAGCTTTATTTCAGTTAACCAACATTTATTTTTATTGGTTGAAGTTTATTATAATAGCTCTGGATATTGACTGTTTTCACAATTCAAAAGAGTTTCATGAAACTAAAGTAGAAACCGCAAGCTCAAAAACTAAAAAAGTTTGCATACCTCATTGACGGATATTTATCGTTTTAAGCATAAACTTGCTTAATTTTGTTCAGTTTTTTAAGTCTTCATTTTACATACTAGATTTAAGGAAGTATATTTGTATTAGAAAATAAAACTACTGAAGAGGATGTTCATTTTTTTGCAATGCATGCAATATTTAATGTCATGACTTCATGAAAATAATTAATAAACTAATCAATAGTAATAACTAATTTAATATTAATTAATGAACTAATACGTTTTTTTTAATTCAATATTTTCATTTAATTTTAGCTTTATTTCAGTTAACCAACATTTATTTTTATTGGTTGAAGTTTATTATAATAGCTCTGGATATTGACTGTTTTCACAATTCAAAAGAGTTTCATGAAACTAAAGTAGAAACCGCAGAGTAAGGCAAATTCAAAGTAAAAGAGGAAAGCAGAAGGCAGGAATGGAGTCAGATCATTAAAGACGCTCCCTCAGCAACTCCACAACAGCAGAAGCGATCTGATGTCCCCTTCATGTCACACTCGTGGCAGCGAGCGAGTCAATTTCCTTAACTTCTGCACAGAGACCACATTCCGAAGCTCATTAAATCTCACATTGCCAGATGTTAACAGTTTTTAAACTTCCTGATCATTTGAAGCTTGTCCTTCAGGAGCAGCGCTGGTTTCCAGTCCAGCACTTGAGAGGGAGCAGGAATGAGGAGGAGGAGGGCTGGACTCATTCAGGTATGAAACGTTACTGCCAAGCACAACATCAGGGGCCCTGGGGCCCTAGTCCTCGTGACTCCCTCATCTATAAAGATGCACACTTGTTCTGACTGAGGCCTTTGGGTTGAAAACATCAAAACATCTGTAATGACAAGGGGCGTATTTTACTGGACAGAGAGTTGATGAGTCTGTATGTGTGTTTTAATCATTAATATAGCTGCTGGGTTAGGTCGAGCAATCTGATTGGGTAAGATCTCTCACCTGCAGAGCATCTCAGTGAGCTGAACAAAACCCCCGTAGGCCAATTCAAACGCCCCCCTGTGACGAGACTGTAGCAGCTGCTCCCGAAAGTACTTCCCTACACCTTCCACCTGACAGACGGAGATTAACACACTGCCTCAGTTAAGTCTTTCGAACCCATACGTATACGTTGAACCAGACATACAGCATTAATTTTGAAGTGTTCAATATTTTTATTACTTTTTTTCCAGCATATACATACATTTATATGAATTTCTTTCAATGTAATTTCATTGTAAATTTTAAAAATCCTTTATTCACTCACCCCACGTTTTAAACCTGTATGACATGCTTCAGTGGAACACAAAATAATATTTAGAATTAAAAGATATTAAAAGATATTTAGAAAAATAATAATAATGTTTTTTTGGACTTGGATGGTATGAACAGCTGAAACATTCTTCAAAATATCTCCTTTTATGCACCACAGAACATCAAATGTAATGAGGGTGAGCAAATGACGACAGAATTTTGGATTCAGAACCTGAATTTTAAAAGCACCCTCGATATACTTCTGAATGGCACTGTCACGAATCCGGCCCATGAACTTTCCATTTCATTGACTCTCGCACTACACACTGTTGCACATCACCCCGGACTACATTTCCCATCATGCATTACTGATTGCACTCAGCACGAATTGCACACACCTGTTTACACTGATTGCACCCAGCTGTTTCATATCACTCCCTCACTATATAACACTCACTCTTATCCCTTCCCTCTGCCGAGTATTGTTTCAGCATTTATCACTCCCCTAGAGATAGCTACTTTACGGAGCCCTTTACGTTTCACCATTTCTCATTACCGGAGCGAGTTTGGCAGCACTAATATTGTGATTAACAACTAACTTGTGCAGTGCTTGTCTCAAGTCATATGAATGTAAATGACGAAACAATTAGTTGTTGACATTTATACAGCAAAGATTCACCAAACTCACTTTCAAATTTCAGTTGCAAGTCTATCTTATTGTATATACTGTATTTATCACTCCTAGCAGACTACAAAATCTACGACCCGTGTTATTTTAGTATTGTTTATGTTGTTTGTACAGTTTTTATAATCATTTTTAAATGGATTTTATTTTTATATTTTATAAAAAATATATATTATATAGTTTAACAATTATACATGATTTAGATTTTTTTTTTGACATTTCTTTTGTTTTTAAATATGGATATGGAAATAACTTTTACTGTACTTCTGCAAAAAAAAATGCTCATCAGTAATTGTGCCTTGTTTTCCCGTGCAAATGTCTAAAGATTCTTACATCAAGACACATTTAAATGAGATGCAAAATGACATAAGATGACTTGATTTCTGACCAAAGTGAAGAGAGTTCGTGATTAAAAATATTTGCCAATGAGCTCAAAAACTAAAAAAGTTTGCATACCTCATTGACGGATATTTATCGTTTTAAGCATAAACTTGCTTAATTTTGTTCAGTTTTTTAAGTCTTCATTTTACATACTAGATTTAAGGAAGTATATTTGTATTAGAAAATAAAACTACTGAAGAGGATGTTCATTTTTTTGCAATGCATGCAATATTTAATGTCATGACTTCATGAAAATAATTAATAAACTAATCAATAGTAATAACTAATTTAATATTAATTAATGAACTAATACGTTTTTTTTAATTCAATATTTTCATTTAATTTTAGCTTTATTTCAGTTAACCAACATTTATTTTTATTGGTTGAAGTTTATTATAATAGCTCTGGATATTGACTGTTTTCACAATTCAAAAGAGTTTCATGAAACTAAAGTAGAAACCGCAGAGTAAGGCAAATTCAAAGTAAAAGAGGAAAGCAGAAGGCAGGAATGGAGTCAGATCATTAAAGACGCTCCCTCAGCAACTCCACAACAGCAGAAGCGATCTGATGTCCCCTTCATGTCACACTCGTGGCAGCGAGCGAGTCAATTTCCTTAACTTCTGCACAGAGACCACATTCCGAAGCTCATTAAATCTCACATTGCCAGATGTTAACAGTTTTTAAACTTCCTGATCATTTGAAGCTTGTCCTTCAGGAGCAGCGCTGGTTTCCAGTCCAGCACTTGAGAGGGAGCAGGAATGAGGAGGAGGAGGGCTGGACTCATTCAGGTATGAAACGTTACTGCCAAGCACAACATCAGGGGCCCTGGTGGAGCAGTCCTCGTGACTCCCTCATCTATAAAGATGCACACTTGTTCTGACTGAGGCCTTTGGGTTGAAAACATCTTGAATTGTGTAATGACAAGGGGCGTATTTTACTGGACAGAGAGTTGATGAGTCTGTATGTGTGTTTTAATCATTAATATAGCTGCTGGGTTAGGTCGAGCAATCTGATTGGGTAAGATCTCTCACCTGCAGAGCATCTCAGTGAGCTGAACAAAACCCCCGTAGGCCAATTCAAACGCCCCCCTGTGACGAGACTGTAGCAGCTGCTCCCGAAAGTACTTCCCTACACCTTCCACCTGACAGACGGAGATTAACACACTGCCTCAGTTAAGTCTTTCGAACCCATACGTATACGTTGAACCAGACATACAGCATTAATTTTGAAGTGTTCAATATTTTTATTACTTTTTTTCCAGCATATACATACATTTATATGAATTTCTTTCAATGTAATTTCATTGTAAATTTTAAAAATCCTTTATTCACTCACCCCACGTTTTAAACCTGTATGACATGCTTCAGTGGAACACAAAATAATATTTAGAATTAAAAGATATTAAAAGATATTTAGAAAAATAATAATAATGTTTTTTTGGACTTGGATGGTATGAACAGCTGAAACATTCTTCAAAATATCTCCTTTTATGCACCACAGAACATCAAATGTAATGAGGGTGAGCAAATGACGACAGAATTTTGGATTCAGAACCTGAATTTTAAAAGCACCCTCGATATACTTCTGAATGGCACTGTCACGAATCCGGCCCATGAACTTTCCATTTCATTGACTCTCGCGGAGTCAAGTCACAACTGATCTTCATGAGTCGAGTCAAGTCACAGTTGATCATAATGAGTCAAGTCAGGTCACTGCTAATCTTCAGGAGTCAAGTCACAACTGATCTTCATGAGTCCAGTCAAGTCTCAGCTGATCTGCCAAAGCCTCATCATGTCTCAGCTGTTCATCCAGAGCCTCGTCACGTTTCAGCTGTTCGTCCAGATTCACGTCGCATCACAGCTGATCATCCAGAGTCATGTCACGTCCTGTCTGTTGCAGCACACATTCCTGTTCACGAATATGCCTAGAAAAACAGATATACGTCTTATATCAATAAAACAGCTCCTTCCACAGGCGGGCAGTGGTTAAGGTTCACATAGCAGCAGAGCATCTATTTACATCGTACTCCAAACTGGTACCACCAAACTTTACTTACGCTCCACGTGCGCGGAGAAATTTCACAACATGGCCAGCTAATTACACGTCGGGGTCAGTGACCTAAATAGAGGCTTTTCCAGCATGTCTAGCACTAAGAGGGTTAAACACAAGTCTAATACTGTTGTTTGCTGGTTGTTTTGATTCAATTAGCTTAAACTTGCACTGAATTAGAAAAAAAAATACAAACAAATACCACAGATGGCCATTTATTAGCTATGAAAAACTGGATGCAGAGTGCAACAAAATAGCAGGTTGAAAATTATTCTGACTTAAACAAATCAGTAATTCTGGTTGGTCACAACTTGCATGTCTGTTCTGGCCACACCAGGCATAAAAAAAAATTGAATTTAGATTTTTCATAAACCATAAATGCTATTGGTCACACTTTGTCTTTCTGTTGGTTTTACAAATATTTCACCAGTGAAAAAATAAAAAGTGCTTATGTCTGAACCTCTTAACTCCACTGGATTCTCAAACGGTCACCAACATCTCCACCGATCTTGACCGACGCACCGCTCACAAAGTTTGGAGATGATTTCTGCTTGTTTGCGATGCAAGGGTAAATAAAGAACAGTTTTTTTTTTAATAAGCACAGGGTTTACACTCTATAGAGGCTAATGTTTTATGTATTTGAAGAATGGTGAAGAGTATCTTAGTCTAAAATTCACTGGGTAACGTTAGTCAAAAACAACACTATCTTAAAGTGATAGTACACCCAAAAATGCTGTTGTAAATAATGTTCAGTTTCTTGCACAGACTGATCGTTCAGGAGCCACGGGTATTAATTTTGTGCTGCCTGTATATGCTTTTTTTGGCTCTCAAATGCCGGTCGCCATTGACTTGCATTTTATGAATCACCAAGGTCCACAGTTTCAGCTGCTGGTTGTTTTGATTCAATTAGCTTAAACTTGCACTGAATTAGAAAAAAAAATACAAACAAATACCACAGATGGCCATTTATTAGCTATGAAAAACTGGATGCAGAGTGCAACAAAATAGCAGGTTGAAAATTATTCTGACTTAAACAAATCAGTAATTCTGGTTGGTCACAACTTGCATGTCTGTTCTGGCCACACCAGGCATAAAAAAAAATTGAATTTAGATTTTTCATAAACCATAAATGCTATTGGTCACACTTTGTCTTTCTGTTGGTTTTACAAATATTTCACCAGTGAAAAAATAAAAAGTGCTTATGTCTGAACCTCTTAACTCCACTGGATTCTCAAACGGTCACCAACATCTCCACCGATCTTGACCGACGCACCGCTCACAAAGTTTGGAGATGATTTCTGCTTGTTTGCGATGCAAGGGTAAATAAAGAACAGTTTTTTTTGAATAAGCACAGGGTTTACACTCTATAGAGGCTAATGTTTTATGTATTTGAAGAATGGTGAAGAGTATCTTAGTCTAAAATTCACTGGGTAACGTTAGTCAAAAACAACACTATCTTAAAGTGATAGTACACCCAAAAATGCTGTTGTAAATAATGTTCAGTTTCTTGCACAGACTGATCGTTCAGGAGCCACGGGTATTAATTTTGTGCTGCCTGTATATGCTTTTTTTGGCTCTCAAATGCCGGTCGCCATTGACTTGCATTTTATGAATCACCAAGGTCCACAGTTTCAGCTAAAAATCTTCTTTACTGTTCTACTCAAGAAAAAAAAAATTGCTACATCTACCAAATTTAATTTTTTTTGTGAATTATCCCTTTAAATAGCCTTTGCACAGCAGTTCGTTTTTCATAACATGAGATTTTGGTCAAATGTATTAAACACCAGGGAAAACTGAGTGCCCACATAGCTACAATAAACTTCATAACATGTAAGTTAATGAAAACAATGTGATGCACTTATTGCCTCAAATGCAGCCATTCTAATGATGAACAAAACGTGTATTTCCGACATTCGCTGGTCAAAAACCTCTTAACTTCATTTAAGCTTGCTTGTGGTAAAATGTTATTGAGACATGCAAGTGTCTAACAATATGTAAAGCCACAACTCCAACTTTGATGACAGTGTTTAATTATTTAAAACCTATGGGGTTTTTCTCATTTCCTAAAAAGCAGCGGGTTTGGACAAACACAGCGACAACATGCAGCTCATGGTTATAATATGGCAACGCTTCTTTTTAAGAGCATGTTTGTGTACAAGTTTGGTAGGCTACTCTGTTGGGTCGCCAATTCATGTCTCACATAAACTCTGGATCCTACAGCAAAACCAAATGAGAACCATGGACCTAAACCACAAGTCAAGTGACTTTTGACAAACATATGCAGTTTAAAAAAAATGTATTTACATAAAGATAGGATAAAAGTGCATTAGCAAAAGCTTGGTGGCAAAAAAGTTCTACCATCTAATGTCAATAGTGTAGTGATGTATAAAGCTCACACAAAAGTCACTTTCAAGCCAGTGTTATTGATATACTAACATAATATTTAATAATATTTAGAATTAGCTTTTATTTTTATATTCAGTTGTCATTTGAATATTAGTTTCTGTATTTTTGTTATGTGATTTTGTCATTTGTATTCGTTTTTTTTTTTAGTTAAGCTTACCGGTAAAGCCCCCTGTTCACACCAAGAACGATAACTACAAAGATAACTATAAAGATAACGATATTAGCGTCCACAGCAGAGAACGATATCGTCTGTTTATTCTAAGCGCACGCACGTCTGCCGCTTTAAATTCTTGAGCTCGTTACAGCAGGATGGATTCTGATTGGTTGTCAATTTATTTATCGTTCATCAGCTGGAGAAAAATCGTTTTGAAATTGATCCCAACGATATCGTTTGTCTTTGTCTTCATCGATATAGTTGTGGTGTGGACTCTGCTATTCTTTAATATTGAGAACGATTTTTAGAACTATATCTTTATCACTATCTTCATAGTTATCGTCCTTGGTGTGAACGGGCCTAAACACTTTACAATAAGGTTCATTAGTTAACATGAACCAAGCATGAACAATACTTCTACAGCATTTATTAATCTTAGCTAATGCTAATTTCAACATTTACTAATGCATTATTAAAATCAAAAGTGCTTGTTAACATTATGCACTGTGAATTAACATGAACTAACAGTGAACAACTATATTTTCATTAACTTTAACAAAGATTAATAACTACTGTAATAAATGTATTGTTCATTGTTAATACATTGAAACTTTATTGTAAAGTGTTACCAGTTTACCTTAAAAAAATTAAAATGTTACCTTGGTAACTGACTTGTACATATTTCATTCAATATTAATTGTTTTACTTCAGCATTTTATTTTTAAATAGTTTTTAATAATTTCAGTTTAAATAAACGATAACACTGTTTCAAACCAAGCAGCTTTCTGTTGGTCAACACGGTGCACCTGTTGTGAAATATGAACAGGGGGAAATCTTTGTCACTTTCATGTGACATTTCCAATCATGTGGATTCCTATTGAAATCCCTGGATTTTGCCCAAGAACATTTGCAAAACAATGGTAAAAGTATTCATTTACAATCACTATCAGCTCTCAGAACGGTTCAAGTTAATGCAGCCAACTTGTAAACAGAGTGAGGTGCTTCAACAGTACTTAAATCTTAGGAGCGCCCTGGATTATCCAAATTACTCACAAGTCTCTCAACTCAGTCCAAAGGGGACGGAGAGACCCCCAGCTTAACCAAAGCCATGGGCAAGCCAGACAGACCCAACTTTCTTAGCTCCAGATTAGCCCGTCTATCCAAACCAAACATGCAAGGAGATCTTGAGACAAATGAGTACGACCTTCATTTCACTCCAACGTTCTTTCTTTCTCAAAGGCGACCTACGCAATAAAAGCTGGCAGATTTGATTGTAAAGAGCTTTTGATATTCAAATGACCAGAGTATGACTTCTCTGGGTACCACAATGATGGCGAAAAACCCCAGGATCCCCTACTGAGAAGCAGTTTACTCTTAACCCAAGGAATTCTCCACCATCGAGATGTGACTAACGGTTTGCAGTTGCAATGGCGCATCCGCGGTCCGGAAACATGTGCCACGTTTCCACAGCGACGGAGGACATAACAGGATGCAGGACACACACGTTTGGGAAACAGAACCATCACTGTCATAAACACACGCTCGGCCCGAACACTCCGAAGAAATGCGGTCTGGAAAAAGATAAACACAAACCGCAAACACAAGCCATGTGGACCCAGGCAGCATCATTAAATCATCCTTTATATAACAGGCGAATATGCCATGGTAACCACACCAGTGACATCACTGAATAACTGCACTCCATCTGTTAAAGCGCTGAGGTCATTCCGCAGGACAGAGGAGTGAAAATAACAATTGCACTGACACATGAATGTGTTCGCTGAGGCCGCTGGCTGACCAACTCCAATTCGGAAACCTTCGCACCGATATCAAGTAACAGTTCTAATGATTTATTACTTCATTTTTGTGTACGTGCAAAAGATGTTGCAAGGTCTGCTCACTCCCTCGCTAATTTCTGGATTTGGAAACTACAGCGATCTATCACGGAAAACAAAGTGGGAACATTTGATCAAGCTTTGGCGAAGTTATGCTCTTAGCTTAAGACATTTTAAACCTTCTGCCCCTTAAACTGCTATGTAAAATCTGCTCTGCACAGGATGTGCTACAAAAGAAACTCTGAAATCATATTGGGTCAGATGCCGTAAAATGAAGCAGTCCATACAATGTGTGCAATATATCACCATAAGCAGTCCATATAATGGGTGAAATATATTCTTCTCAAGTCATACATTAGTTTTGAGTGAGAAACCCATTGAAATTTAACCTGCTATTCACTAAAAATCTTATTTGTACTTTTGCATTTTCACTTCATCAGTTAGAAGATCTTATGATTTTACACATAATGGCTTACATTTTGGTCTAATCCTCACAAATTATTATAGATTATATAATGAAATAAAAAATAAAAAAACAATATATGCATTTTTGCTAACTGAAAGTACATTAAATATATTTTAATGACTCCAAAACAGGACGAGAGAGGGAATTTTCACTTTACACCTCAAGCTAGAGTGAACATACACAGATACGGTTACAAACACATGCTCACATTGTACTCTAAGTGCTTGTGGCTTCAAGTCACCCAAGAGGTTTTGAACATATACCAGGATGTAGGAAACGTTCATGTTTATGTATGGTATTGGCACACAGGAGCGAGATGCTGCCAGAACAACTGCTGCCAGAGTCTCAGGTATAAAAAGCTGGTGAATGAGTTCTGTGTGAAGTGGTTCAGCTCTTCAGGGAAAAAGGAAGCCATTTGAAAAGAATGCAGGATAGGAAAGGTAGTCGGACCGTTAAACAGCAGGCCGGTCTGAAATGAAAGCGCTATGCTAAGAGGGCACATGCTAATTGAAGACGGGCACAGCACGAGACTACATATACATTCACTTGGTTTAAACTACTGCAGACGGAAAATAACTGCCCTGCTAAGTGCAGGCAGCTGGTGCGGTTCATGCTGGAGGCACACTTCTGATGCAAAGACTCCTGAACCATATGGAGCAAAATCATCTTATGCATCCTTCAAGAATAAGTAAATCCCAGAATCCATTGCGACAAATGAAAATGTGTGCGTGTGTGTGTATATATTCCTTACGTATATTAATATATAGTGATTGACATATAATTTGTGTTTTTTTTTTTAAATAAATCTATATATATATATAATTTTGGTGAGCCTGTGCGAATTGTAGCTTTTGTCGAATTGTCGTTTCCTGTTCTTAGCTGACAGGAGCGGTACCCGGTGTGGTCTTCTGCTGCTGAAGCCCATCTGCTTCAGGGTTCGACATGTTGTGCGTTCAAAGATGGTATTCTGCATACCTTGGTTGTAACGAGTGGTTATTTGAGTTACTGTTGCCTTTCTATCATCTCTAACCAGTCTGCCCATTCTCCTCTGAAATCAACAAGGCATTTTCGTCCACACAACTGCCGCTCACTGGATATTTTCTCTTTTTCGGACCATTCTCTGTAAACCCTAGAGATGGTTGTGCGTGAAAATCCCAGTAGATCAGCAGTTTTTGAAATACTCAGACCAGCCCATCTGGCACCAACAACCATTCCACGTTCAAAGTCACTTAAATCCCCTTTCTTCCCCATTCTGATGCTCGGTTTGAACTGCAGCAATTCGTCTTCACCATATCTAGATGCCTAAATGCATGGAGTTGCTGCCATGTGATTGGCTGATTAGCAATTTGTGTTACCAAGCAATTGAACAGGTGTACCTAATAAAGTGGCCGGTGAGTGTAGAGCAGGGGTGGCGAACTCCGGTCCTGGAGAGCCGCAGTCCTGCAGAGCTCAGTTCCAACCCTAATAAAAACTCACCTGCCTGTAGCTTCCTAGTAAGCCTTCAGACCTTGATTAGCTTGTTCAGGTGTGTTTGATTAGGGTTAAAGCAAAACTGTTGACTGTCAACTTTTTGCTTACCAACATTCTTCAAAATATGTCCTTTTGTATTCAACAGAAGAATTCAACTCTTAAAGGTTTGAAACAAGTAGAATTTTCATTTTTGGGTGAATGATCACTTAATTATTATTATTATTTCCTTACTTTTACATTTACATACATACATTTTCAATAGGGTGCTAACTTAGAAGGAAGCGTACTCCCAAGGGTTTAGAACGGTCTTTGTGTCTGTACTGGAAATATGTCTGACATTTTCTGTTCAATGGCCGCCAGGCTCAGTTTTATGGCAAATTAAGTTGTATACACCGTGATGATCACATTTCCTGACGCCTCTTCAGGGGCTGTTCTCTAGACCATATTTAAGTCTGTATTAGCAATTACCATGATGTCTCATCTCTCGGCCCTGAGCTCAAAAAGATCAGCTTACTGGAAAAAGTCTCCACTCAACCTTATGAGGTACAGTTCTCCATTATATCTCACTTGCTTATGTAACTGAGATCTTGGCTTCAGGGAGGCTCGGTGGCTTCCATCATAAGGGTCTCTTTGAGATGACTGCATGTATGCGCATCAAGACAATGAATGCCAGCTCAGGTGACACCTGTGGAGTGCGTGTCTGTGTCTGACCTGGTCCTCTGTGACGACTCCTCTGCCGTCAGGGTGCGTGAGAGGACAGCGCAGTGGCATGCTCGGACACAGATGACCCAGCAACATGGACACCTCTTTCATGGTCCTCCAGCAACACACCAGCACCATCTGAGCGGTGACTCGATAGGCCTCTCCATCACCACCACCTAGACAACAAACACACACTCCCAAATAATCCCTCGGAAAACACTGATCAAATGTCGGCCTCTCATGGACAGAACATGTATTACAGCAACACCAGCCCTCGTTTGAAATCAATTCTGGGTTCACTAAAACTATAATGTTAAGAATGAGCGCAGTTTCTAAAGACATCATACTAAAGGATTTATGATGTGCCTGAATGTGTGAAAGCGGAGTCCAAAATGAGTTTTTTTGAGACGGATACTATGGTAAAGGGCAATGGGGTGGAACTGTATCTAGTGATGGGTAATTGTGTTTGTACCGCTGTTACAGGATTGTGGTTTATGAACTGTGTTCTCTGACTCTTTCTGCTCGCTATCACGGCTGCTCTCACTGGGGTCCAGCTCTCTGGCACTAGTGAAAAAGTCATTTGTGTCACGAGGTTGAATCTCCTGCAGGATTTTCTGGAGGCCAGCAGAGGTCTCTGTGAAGAGAAGAAAAACATGTATTGTAATTACAAGCATGCAACTGACAAATGTAAAGCGGGACAACATATTGATTTCCATTTGTATAATTAGTTTAATTAACGTGCATGTGGGAACACACGTGTGTTCACTTTATTTTCACATTCCTGAATATTGTGGACCGAAGATTACAGCATTTCACCAATATTGCACCAAAATAAAAGCTTGAGGATTGCAAACATTAAAATCTTGTAGCTTTAAATGTTTGAAAGTGAAAAATTTAAGACACAACATTAGTATTGCATTTTGCACTGTAAAATAAAAATGATTATTCCATGGTCTGTTGGAATTCTTGATTCTGATTGGCTGGCAGGTATGCATTAAAACCGTTTAATGCACAGGTAGTTCCAAGTCAACGTTCTATATTAATGCCCTGCTTTAATTGACACACACACACACACACAGAGAGAGAGAGAGAGATCGGAGATCCCGCTGCGCAAACAGAAACATTCAGGAGTAGGCCAACATAAACTAGTTGTCAACGCTGCCCCACAACTTTTATTAATAAAATGGTGTAGATACTGGATCACTACATTATATTCCTCAGCAACGAGGAGGTAAAAACACTGGGTACCGTTTAAATCACTAATCTTAAAACTTCATTGTTTGTAGAGAGAGACACACACAGACGCAGGTAATTCACACACACAACTGTCATCTTTCTCTCTCGCACTCACTCGAACAAACGATCGATAATGTTATAATCATTCATTCAAATAAATGTGATCTAACTGCACTATTTCATCTCTGTGTCTGATGTGAAGCGGGCAGAATGTTTGAGCTAACGAGCCGTAACTGTCCGTCATTTTTCCCATTCGGTCAAATATTGCGCTGCAATATTTTTAGATTGCGCCGCGTCGGGTGGTTCTTTGTCTCCACGTTGTGCATTTAAAATCCTTTAATACATGGCAAGCCGTTGATTATCCCTTATGTATTCAATATTTGGCACTACAACTATATATTTAAAACACAATATTTCAGTCTTAATTTTTATAATTAGAGTTATTATTATAATTAGTCATTATTTGTATCATTATTATAATAAGGTGTTTTGTTAATAATATTAATTATGAATGCGTGGTTAAATTACTGAAATATTAACTTAATCTCAGAGAGGTACTTCAAGTAAACATTTTACATACTGTATAAAGAAACAAAAATAATGACATTTTAGATTTGAATAATAAAATCTAATTCTCGTCTAATTTGATTATTTTCTCTTTTTACTTAGAAATTGATAGACAAACCAACACAACCAAAAAAGACTAACATTATAAAATGGACAATAAATCAATAATCAAATCAATAAAATTCTGATTGAATGATCCATGTTTGAAGTTGTTGTAAAATACCCCTGTGACTTGCACATCATCTGAATTCTATATTAATATGGCAAGTTGTGATATTGCTGGACAACTGAACATAAAACTCGGCATTTTGGTCAACAACGCCAACTAAGATGTTCTTCCTCGCCTTAACTTGCTTGGGACACGTCCTGATCTATATTTTCAGTATCACTACATGCTTTTTAACACATCTCTCATGTGTACATAATCACAATCTATACAATAAAAAAAAAAACAGCGTAGCAATTGGTTGACGCACTTCTACCATCACACATTACATACCATCCATACCCCGGGAGATGAGAGGCTACCTTGTGTAAACCAAGGGGCCAACAAAAAGTCTACTAGTGCATTACTGGACATGCTAGCGACTGGTTAGGACAGTGCAAGATGCATTTACCATACTCAGTATCCATGGGAATGAGGCCCTCAGGGGAAGAGCTCTGAAACACAGGTGACACGACATCAGACATCCTGTAGCACAGGCCTATGAGCTCTGACACAACAGCCCTCCACTCAGACAGCAGTACAAGTGATCTGAACACACAGAAAGATATCAACCACACAAAATGAATGCCAAGACCTCTGTAATAGACACTAAAAGGTTGAGTGTGTGTGGATGTACCCAGTACTGAGCTGCTGCAGGACTGCAGTGATGCAGTGAGCTCTATTACAAAGGACAGGAGGAAGCGGCTTGCAGAAGAGACGACTCGGCCTTCAAAACCTCTTCCTTCAGACACACCATCAGCCACTGCACCACTGAAACATCACAAGCACGCTCTCTAATTTAGATACATACATTATTTAGATCCATACATGTATACATTGATCTAATTTAGATTGATGTTTAGAGTTAAAACAACCGCAGAAGTCTCACTTGTCATATCTACTCTAATGAAAAACACAATGTATATTGGTAATGTATATTTAGTTTGAATCTTTGTTTCTACAAAACATTATTAAACTAAAGAAATTATTAACTGCATATTAAATATGAGTAGTAGTAGTAGTAGTAGTAGTAGTAGTCTATAATTTTTAGGAATTCTAAATAAATTATTTAAATTCTAAATAATTTATTTATAATATTTTAATTATATAATTTACATATGTGACCCTGGACCACAAAACCAAAAAAAGTCTTAAAAAGAGATTTGATGTTTATCTGCTTACCCCCAGGGCATCTAAGATGTAGGCGACTGTTTCTTCAGTAGAACACAAACGAAGATTTTCAACTCAAACCGTTGTAGTCTGTCAGTCTTATAATAGAAGTGAATGGGAATCACGGCTTTGAGTGTCAAAAAAACTGAGCACATTCGCATCTTCTTCAGCCGGCGTGTGATGCATCTTATTCTTCTTCTTGCTTTACGGCAGATAGCAGACTTATAAGTGCATTACCGCCACCCATCTCTCAAAATGAACCATTGACACTCCTAACTGAGATTGTAGATAGAGTGTCAAGTGTCCATTTGAGAGATATGTAGCGGTAATGCACTTATAAGTCTGCGATCCGCCGTAAAGCAAGAAGAAGAAACGTCTCCTTTAGCTATATTTTCCATGTGACATTTTGGTTTAGTTATGCACCATCTAATCAGCTTCAAATGCAAAAATGCCTGTTGAGTAAAATAACTCATGCAAAGATTCAGAACCAGTGAATCTCCTATCTGTGGAGTTTATCTCAGAGTAAACCTGTACCTGCAGTACTTAAAGTGACCCTATCATGCCATTTCGAATACTGCCTTTCATGCAGTAATGTAGCTGTATGTGAATGTAAACGATCTGCAAAATTGAAAAGTGGAAAGAGCATAAATAAAGTTAGTCTCCCAAAAGAAAGAATATACTCTGAACAGCCTAAACGAGTCCTCAGTTATTCGAATCCCAGTTCCGTAACAGCTAACACATTTGCTTAATGCCCGCCTACATTTTACGTTTGTTTTACGTTGTCTCTCCTGAAACTCCGCAGTGTCTGTGTGGATAGATTATATACAGAAAGCGAGCAAAGAGCGCTCCCTTTATAATCAAACTCTCATTAATTTGAGCTGCAGTGCGAATGGCTACAATACTCAATGTTGCAAATCACTCTGTAAATAGAAACCTTTGACAGTCTTCAGACCGCAGAGCATGAACAACTAAGCACAGGACTGTTTGAAAGCAACTGCCTATCAGCAGGTACCGAACGGAGTCGAAGTAGTCTTGGATATTGGACCCGCAGTCCACCCGTGCCTACTGATTCCACGATCTGCACCAGTTATGGTTCGCTTGCAGGACTCTGGTTTCTCTTACAGCTCACTTAGTATCACAGTACTACCTGGTACATGTTGAGGACTTGCTGGTCTTTGTGGTCGTCATGTTGGTCCAGTCTCTTTTGCAGCAGCTGAGCTCTGTCCTTCACCCTACACAAGAGCTGACAACGCAACAAAACAGACACGAGCCAATCAGAACATGCCTCCAATGTCCTCTGGCCAATCAAAGCTTGAGCTGACATCACTTCCTACCTTCTTTAACAGACTGACAGTCTGCTGTCTGACTCCTGGTGACTGACTGTTTAGATTAAAGGGCAGGAAGTAGCAGATTAGCTCTATTTCCTGTCTGGACAGTGTTTCCGTGCTGCGATGGCTCTCACATATCAAACCCAGAGCATCCATTCGCACCTGAATTCACATAAACAGCCTTCATTTCCCTTTGTGTTATCGATATTACCCGATTTAACATGTCAGACGTTAATTATTAAAGGTTCAGTTAAGTAAATAATTCAGTTAATATAATGCAGTTCCAGTTTACCTGATCGTGTTTGTGCACCAGAGCCTGTCGCTTTAGTGGGAGCGGCACCAGGCCACCCCACAATTCTTCCTCCACAGACTTGAGAACACCCTGAGACCGGGCGGCACGCAGACACGTCATCAGAGCCCCCAACATACCTCTGCTGCCAGCTTACCCCGAGGAACCAACACTTAACAAAAAAAATCTATAAAATTTTTCTTTCTATAATTCAATAAAAATATTTTCTAAAAATATTCCACACTCAAATGCCCCAAAATTATTTATACACATATATACACCGATGAATACTGCAAACATCTGAAACTGCAAAAAAATAAATAATAATAAATTAGATATAAAAATAATATAATTAAATTAGATAAAAAATGAAATTAAATAAAAAGAATAATAAAATTAAATAAAAATGTATGATTACAATTTCTGTAAATTAGTTTAACGTGTCTGTTTCAATCTCTAAGCATCATCATTCTTAAACTAAAATGTAGTATCAATATTACATAAATTATAAATTATTATGCATTGCTATTTTGGAGATAAAAATGATTTGATCATTCTTTCTTGAGTTCATTTAGTGATAAACATGGTTCCGAGGCAGCTTTACAGAAAATAAATTAATAAATACGTTAAATAAATCTTACCGCTGCTTAAGAAACATTGCTATTATTATAAATTGCAAAAACATTTTTGTGAATTCATATATATATATATAATGAAAGTCTGTTCATAAGAACAATCAAAAATAAAAATCTTTCGTAACATTATAATGTCTTCACTGCACATACACAAGACCCTTACCCTCTGTGCAAGTCGGCATCTCCTGCAGGGCCTGTACCATGTGGCTAAGGCTGGAGGGGTTGCAGCGTAGCAGTTTGGGCAGAAAGTAGTCAAGCATATAAGTTGTTTGATCCAATCGAGCTGTGCACAGTACCTGCAGCAGAGGCCTCACCCAAACTTCATGCCACCCATCTATCCAGACATCCCCATCCCTAAACCGGGCACACAACTGGGCTTTATGTCTGACAAGCTTCTCCAGAAGGTCGCTGGCATATGGTGCCATCGTCTGATCCCCCATCAGATCCAGCAGCCTGGATGGCAGTCCCCCATCAAGCTTGAGTAAATACTCTGCTCCTAAATGCTCCACCAGGCAGCCCAGTGTGCCGTACTTCCCTTTCATATGCCACTCCAGCGTTAGAAGGTCCTGGGTGAGCTGGGTGATGTAAGGGTCACCGGTGGGATCGGACTTGTGGCCACTGCAGTGCTGGTGGAGCGTGAGGAGGTTCTGGAACA